CACACACACACATAAAAGGATCCACTCATTTCGGTGCAAATGGCTCACAAAACAACACAGAAGAGAGAGCATGTCCTGTGGAGTCAACTGTCACTCAAAAACAAAGTTCCTGTAATGACTTTCAAAATCACAGATTGAGAAGTAGCTGTTTTCTGAGTTTTGCCCCTCTACTGTGTGACTTGCTGGGATTCCCGCATTCTGCTGAGAATTTAAAGCACATGTGTACATGATTGCTGAGTTTCCGTGTGTTTGTTTGACTGCCATGAGAACCCCTGCCATTCCATGGGTCTGACAAACAGAGGACCAGATCAGCTTGCACTCACCCACTGCAGCTGCCTGAACCCTAACGCACATACCCACCCCCACCTGAAGCGTCATCGACCCCAAGATTACAGCCTTGCTGCTCTGGGAGGTGCATCGCCCTCCCCGGCCCTTCCGCAGTCGAAAGGGCATGTATGGGGGGCGTTTCCTCAACCCTTTGGAATTCAAAATTGGATTCTAGCCGTCCATCTCGGCGAATGCAAATTAATTTCTCCCCCCCCCAAAAAAAAAAAATCAATTTCAGGATAAACCCTCAGGTACTCTCAATCGGATACAAGCTGAACTATTCGGAAACAAACCCTCATTTTCCTACTTATTTCTATTGAACTATTAGTCTATTACCTTATATTTAATTACGTTCATGATGGACTCATATATATTTACTATTTATATCTAGGCTACCAGACTGGCCCGGGACCATTTGTCTCGTCGGGCCAAAAAAAAAAAAAAACTGGCTCGACCTCCTGAAAGTCCAACGGAACAGTCTAGCACAGTCATGTTTTTTTTTTGTGGGGTTGTGCAGCGAACATGACAACACACACAATCAAAACCTATAAAACAAGAAAAAAGGGCATGTTGTGTACGTTAAATACAACACAATTATGCCTTCTGTCATGAAAATTACGTATGGGGTTCAAAGGGATCGTAGACGCTATATACAGGGTTAAGAGCTAGGCAGAACAGCCAGATATCCGGGCTGCTTTCTGGGTCCAGCCGGATGAACCTGGACGAATTTCCCCTGGATAAGCCCACATATAAAAATTCAGACCCAAGCACAAACTACGGTGTTTTTCTTTTTTTCTTACATTAATAAACAAAAACTGGATAAAAACTATTAAAAAGTATGTTTATGCAGGTCGAATTTGCTGTGGTGGACAGGTTAGCAGTGGTTTAGACCACCACCAGTACATCCAATCCTCTTTTCCCCGATGCACGCCCAAAAAAAACAGAGCTGGCACAGCACAGTTTTTTTCCGTTTTAGCTGACGTCACCTGCCAAACAGATCCGGTGGGCCGAGCCCTCAAAGTCGTGGCATCTGTACACCCCCGCACGGGAACAAAATAGCTGGGTCGTGGACTGGTGGTTTAAACCGCCAGTACACCGGGCCAGCCTTGCAAGATTTCGTAACCACTCACTCCAAAAATTCCGGAGGCTCAGACCACAACGGCTGGCGGAGGTAGCCAAGAAAGACAGAAAGTGGCCCGCCGGTGGTTTGATCAAGCTTAGCGAGCAGTGCAGCACCGCCAGGACCGGGTGTACTTGGGGTACATTAGAGCACCTCTCTAAACAATGTGTATATATATTGTCACAGAACTATGGACTAAGAACGTAAGCACGTGAAGTAGAAGAGGAAATAAGATGAGCGAAGAAAAGAAAAATGAAAGGACAGACAGGCAAAGAGACAGACAAACTAGAATGACAGAAAACAGTGTCCTCTTCTTCTTTGTTTCACTGTATTCTTATTTCTTTCAGTGTTTTACCAAAACTTTTTTACACTGAACAAAGGATAAAAATAAAAAACAAAGACACATTGAAATCATTCAATTTCCCATAGCCACGTTGATGAAGTTGAGCGCGAGCTGGCCCCATCCCCGTATGCCATAACAGCCCACTTGCACGCTATGGGAAAGACGCAGAGTGAAGGAAGAGGTGTCAAACACAAGGAAGAGCGGAGCAGAAAAGGAAAATCGATAGGCAGACGGAGAAAAAAAAAAAAAAAAAAGTGACACATATATATATATATATATCGTCACAAACAGAACTGCCCGGTAAACCGTAGGCAGAGAGAGAGAAGAGGACAACAAACGAGGGGCTGTGACAAACTGTTTC